CTTAGAAGCCTCTCCCCTCCCCTTCACGCCTGTTTGTTTCCCCAAATTTTTCCCATTTATCCAATTCAATATTATAACGAAAGTTCTGTGCCCATTTTATCATTTGTTCTTTCACGATTTCCTCTTCCATTTTATGCTTCAGGAGAAATTTATATATTTATATAACCAGGGGATAAAAAGTGCACATGCACCCTCAAAACCAGCTAACCAGACTAAGAAGGGTAGCCAGATGAATACCTGGTAGGCAGAATTCCCCCCCCCCTATTTTCCTCCCCCAAAACTAAGGTGTGGCATATACTCTGAAAAATACAGGTAGCTAAGGAAAAGAAAAAAAAGCAAATCCTCCTTAAAGCAATAAAAACGATTCAAAAATCCTAGCTCCTTTATATTCATTACACAGCCTCCAACCCTTTTGCTTTCTGCCTCTCTCAATCTGGAGCTGGGTGATCACAGGTGCCCAAAGGTTTCCCAACATGACCCTTGCTGTTTAAGTATCATACTTGTTACTAAAATAGATGGTTAATCCAATTTCCTCGGTAATGTGAGCGTGGCCTGCATTAATGCTCCATGTTTTTTGTTCTGATGTTCAAATGAGCAGAGGAAATGAAAAAAAAAATCCATTCAATTGGGAGTAGGGGGGCCTCGGAGTAATTTATTGGAGGTGCCGACGACAACTGATATTTTACAACTGCTTTCCTGGCACTGGAAGGACGGAGATCTCAGTACTTCTGGAGGGATGTTTATGATGACCATGTGGGTATCTTACTTTAATGTCTAACGAAAGATAGCCATGGGGATGTATGTTTATTTGGCTCTCAGGGCAGATGGTAAAGGAAACATTTTCACAGTTGTGTATTGGCCAGAAACTGCATTCTAGCAAAAGGGGAGGGGTCACTATCACTTTAATTCTACTTGCATTACCTAAGGGGATTTAGATGTTGCTTTGCCTTAATGGCTTCCATTCTTCTTAATTAAAGGTTTCTTTTGAAATAATCCTTTTCAGGAGTCTTCACTTTCTTAAGTTAGGAGCGGAGCCCTTACACTGATGTTCAAATGAGCAAAGGAAATGAAAAAAAAAAATCCTACAAACAGGCGTGAAGGGGAGGGGAGAGGCTTCTAAGAGCTAAACTATTCCGAATTATAGGCTCAGTTAATAGCAACAAAAGGCCACCTGTATCCTGGCTATTCTCAGTCTCTGCAGGTGCAGCATCTCTGCCCAGCCCTCCAAGGACGCGATAAACATCTGCATGGACAGCGTCCACTCTCACGGCATAGATCTTTGCACTGGCGTCAAGGGTACCAGCTGCTACCTGTAAACGCAAGTGTAAAGAAATGTCATAGATCCCAACCTAGGGATAGACTTTATCTCTTAAATCAGGGCTCCCCAAACTTTCGGACCTCAGGGACCACTAAATTCATAATTTTAAATTCCGCAGACCATTAATATGATCTGCCTAATGACCGGCTGGGTGGGCGTGGCTAGGTGATCATGGACTGGGTGGGCATGGCTAACCAGATGTCACTCACATCAAGGGGTGCCTCACCAGGCTCTACTTGCCCCTCCCCTGCCAGCCATTCCTTGCCTACCCACCTGGGCTCCTTAGGGCCCCAACAGGAAGCAGTTGTTGGAGCTAAGCAGCCACCAT